AAATAAAAATGTAAAGAGTCGAAGTAAAAAGTTGCCTTAAAAAATAATTACTCCAATAAAGTATAGATAGTCAAAATTTCTGCTTAAGTAAGGTAACAAAGTATTTGTACTTTATTTTATTTTTTATTTTTTTGTTTGTACTCTGATCAAGACAATAAAATGTGTGTCATTTCCCTTTTTGTGATAAATTAGCTTTTTCATGATGTTCTGATATATTGAGGTGTTCAAGAATTAGATTGATTTTTGTAGGACATTGTTTTCCATTTCAGAGAAAACAGCTGATGGTTGAAATGCAGGCCTGCAGGAGGTCTTATGCTGCCATCTAGTGGTCATGACGTTGATGTGACACAAAAGAAAAGGAAAGTTATGACTCAAGGCATCATACCTTACAGTCTGATGGACAAATCAGTAAATTAGTATTATTATCAGCTTTAGAAGTAGGAACATGAGGATAAGTTGGAGTAATAGTAGATGGAGAGGGTACCCTAAATTCATACATTTCATAATTCTTCAGATGACGCTTCATCCAAACTAAATGTGTGGCATTTAAAGTGCATCTCAAATTTGCTAATTTGAGTTGCATTTGTTCAAGCCTCTACAAGGGTGTAAAAGCACATTTCTCTAGTACCTTTATACAGCTTGGTTGTGCAAAGAACTTGTCTTATAGAGCTGACCTGGATATGATGTAGGGGGTGTTGCAATGAGAAGAAAGAATTCTCCTGTGGTCTGTCGGCCCCTCGACCTTGAAATTAGGAAAAAAAAATAGTAATATTAGAACTGCAAAGGTACTTATTTGATCTGGACCAAACTTGGGAAGCTTCCTTATCATAATAGATGCTACATGCTTATCGAAGCATAACATGCTCGCCATTAGAAACTAATGGTACTCTATTTATCAGGTTAAGGGGAAGCTCCTGTGTCGATTTGATCCAACTGCTTCAATTGTTTAAAAAAAAAAAAAGATAAAAAAAACAAGGTAAGCAAATGTCACTGGTCAGATTAGCCTTGTTCTGAAACCTTGCCTTGTTAATGTGGGGTCCAAAAATCAACACTTTGCGAAAAAGTACATTTTCACAGGTTGTTGGCATTAAAGAGCATTTGTGGGAGATATTTGACAGGCTCATAGGTAAAAAAAAAAAAAAATCTAATAAATGCAAGCTCTTTTATGCTCCATATCTGGCACTTTGTTCACATCACATCGTGACCACCTCAACCCTCCCCCTACCTTCAAGGTTGTTATGATGTCCCCCATTTTGGGGGGAGTGTTGGCCTAGTGGTTAGGGCAGTGCGCTTGTGTTGTGAGGAGGTTGCAAATCCCCCCTCACTGCTCTCCAAGGAGATGGGTCAAATGCAGAGGGTAATTTCCCCATTCTCACAATAAAGACATTTACATTTGCCACTTTATGCCCCCTCATTCCATTCAAAACATCTTAAGCAACAAAATCAACTAACATCCTTTCTGCTGATAACAATCAATCTTGTAGCATTCCAGATTAAATCATTCAAGACCAAAACTGGTTGGCTAATCACATTGTAGTACTGTGGTATAAACTGGGACATATGGAAGTGATGAAAGAAAGAGCTGCCAAGCTCACAGCCCACCCAAAATAAAAGCTGCTGTTACCACATCTATTATGTCAGAATCCACAATTTCATATTTGAAAGAGGAACAGCGTGATTGTAAAAGTGTAAACTGTTGTGGTTTCTTATGGCATCTGCTGCTATCTAATTTGAATTCTGAGATTAAAGTCAGAATTGTGTGAAAAAAGTCAGAATTCTGGGGTTAAAGTCAAATTCTTTTTTTTTCTCATAATATACTGAATTGGAAAAAAAAAATCAGTTATCTTTTTTTCTTTTTTTTTTAGTGGCCCTAATCCTTTACAATGTTTATTGTTTTCTCTCAAGATATAGAACTATTAAATTATTTAATGATTGTATTTCAAAACATGTTCATTTCTTTAAAATATGTTATTAGTTATGTAATTTTATATAAAACCGGCTTTGCATAGTAATAATCGATAATCAGCCAAATTGAAGCCTTGAAATTACTTAATCTTAATTCATTCATTTTATAAACTATGATTAGTTTAAAAAAATCTAATTTCTGAAATAAATTGATATGTTATGTGTAACCATTTCCTCTGATCTTCTGAGAGCAATGTGCTTGTATCAGTATTATGGATTAACAAAAGGAACAATCTGCATTCAAATCTGAGGATAAATCTGTTCCTCAGGATCTTGAATTACTGACTCCAGATGCATTATCCCCCTTTCTCTTTAATGGGTACAGTTCTCTAGTGTTGTGTTTGGTTTTATTCATTGATGATCCTCATTTGGGTCTGCACAGTGGTGCAGTTTATAGCACTGTTGCCTTGCAGCAAGAAGGTTATGGGTTCAGTTTCTGGACAAGGGTCTTTTCTCCTTGTGAACTCAAGGGTTCTCTCTGGGTACTCCAGGTTCCTCCCAAAGTCCAGAAACATGACTTGGATTAGGTTAATCGGCCTCTTAGGTGCGAGTGTGTGGGTATGTGGTTTTATGTCTCTGTGATCCCCTGCGACAGCCAAGAAACCTGTCCAGGGTGTACGCTGCTGGGGATAAGCACCTCCTCCATCGCAACACTGATGGAATAAAGGGGAAGGATGGATGGATGATCATCATTTGTGTGAAGAACATTGAATCAGTATCATTTAGCGCAGGCAAATGCTCACGTTTTGTAAAACACAAACATCTGTTAGTCCAAGCTTATAATGACTGTGAGTTTGAAGTGACGTAAGCCAACCTGCTGAATATGAGTATTGCTGCTGAGGAGGGATGTGTGCCTCCTCACACAAAGGTCTATGCTTTGCACAATTAATGTTATTAAAGCCATACCTATTGCATATTGCCTATTTTAAATTTAAAGTAAAAGAAAAGGCTGTTAAAGCTTAATAAATATCTCAATAAATCTGACCGGCTTGCTTTTGCGTATAGTTTATTTCACTATTTTCTTTTACCCAATAATGATAAAACTGAGGGATGGTGTTTGGACCAAAGGCTAAGAGGGATCAGTAGCTCAATCATTTTTCTGGAAATTTGATTCAGATCTTAGGTTTCCCAAACATTTTAAGGACATGAATTCATCAGCCCTTTTTCAAATTATAAATTTAGCAAAAAGTACATTATTTATTTGATACCATGATGCAGAAACCCCAATTTATGTGACTCCAGAATTCTGAGTTTAATCTCAGAATTTTGGATCTTAATGTAGATGGGC